GGCCTCCCGCTGATGCTGTGCGTGCAAACAGCTGTGTAGTGTGCACACGGAGGTGGTTTGCACTGCCATGGAGGCTTCTCCATCTGTCACCTCCTTTCCCAGCCCTGAGGAAGAGCCCTTGATGCCCGAAGGCTTGCCCAGCAGCTCTCCCGAGTGCACGGCTGCGCCAATAGAAGGCATCACAAACAATCCTGGTCCTGCTACATTCCCGGTCGCTCGCAGCTAGGCTGCTGCACCCCGTTTACGTAAGGAAGTAGCATCCTCGCTGCTTCCCCCGCGAGAGCGCGCAGCGGTGACTCCAGCGGGGTGCTGCGGCCCCCGGGGTGCTTCGAGAGCCTTTCGAGGTCCGTGCAGGGAGGTGCGCGAACATGATTCACGAGACAAACCCGGACATTGCAAACAGCAATCCACGCTGTTAAAAACTTTCCGGACCTGGTGGGGCCTTTCTGAGCTCTTTGCAACAGCAAAATTGCTCTATTATTTTTCTGGAGTCAAAACACAAGTGGAAAGGAAGAGCTGGCATTTTCTGGGGGCTGCCTGGGGTCTAAGGAGGCTGGTCTTGCTTCCCACTGCCTTCTTGCTCTCCCGCCAGGCCAGAAAGTGCCCGCTGGCTGGGTGCAGCACGGCTCCGAGGATGCCACGCTCCCTGGACTTCCTCTGTGTCACACGCGAGAGGGAAGGACTCACTGGGTGACAGCTACCTTCCTCCTTCCTGGTAGTCCAGCCCCAAGGATTCCCCGTGGTCACAGCTGCTCCATGATCCACTGAAATTGAGGAGGGGGCTCTAGGGAAGGGGTCATGCAGCCAGCAGTATCCCCCACTGGGTTCGGGGACAGGTTAACCCCGTTGTGCCATGCTGATTCGCAACCCTGTGAGATATTGTCCACGAGAGGTGGAATAGGCAGTGCAAAACAGGGGACTGACTTCTACCCCTTCCCTTTTGGGATGAGAGATGGACACGGGGAGGGGCAGTGGATCACAGGTGTGGATGCGGCCTTGAGGGTCATCTGGTCCGACCCTTGCATGAATGCAGGGATGCTATTTTTAAACTACCCCTTTGAAGTGCTCATCTAGCCTCCTCTTGAAAGCCTCCAGGAAGGAGTCCACGACTTCCCCGGGCAGCCTGTTCCACTGCCTCACTGCTCGGACGGCAGGACGTTTTTTCTGAGATCTCGTCTGAATCCGCTTTGCTGCAGTTTCAAACCATCCCTTGGTGTCCTGTCTGCAGCAGGAGAACAGCTGGTCTCCCTCCTCTTTATGGCAGCTTTTCAGATGTTTGCAGACTGCTATCATGCCCTTTCTCAGCCACCTTTTCTCTGAGCAAAACATACTTTGCTGTCCTGAACAGCTTGCCCTCCATCCTCCTGACCAGGGCTGGGCAATTATTTTGGTGAGCTGCTGCAAGGTCAGGGCGTGCTGACCTGGCCCAGCTTGGCGGGATGGGGGGTGCTGATCTGGCTCGGCACGGGGTAGGCAATTGATTGTATCCGGCCCGGACCTGTCCCTACACCCACCGCCACAGGTGCAGGACGGAGCAGGCAGGGTCTCCACGGACACTGGGACCCCTGCGAGCAGGCTGTGCTTGGCTGGGTAGATGGGATGGGACCACAGGCCGGATAAAATCCCTTAGCACATTGAATCCGGCCTGCCCTGTGGGCCATATTCTGTCCACCCTGCTCTGGACCCTCTCCAGGCTCTCCACGTCCTTCTTAAAACATGGACAGTACACCGTGCTCTAGCTGAGGCCTAACCTGCCCGAGTAGAGTGGTACTATCACCTCCCACAGCCGGCACCTCTTACTCCTGCTGGTGTAGCCCGCAATTGTATTTGCTGTGTGTGTGACTGCATCACGGGTGCTGCACCGCTCCGGCTGCCGGCAAGGGGAGGAAGCACTTTTGAAAACTGACCCGGTTGTGTTCACCTGGATGCAGTTTACCTACGATTAGGCCCCCTGGTTTGGAAATCCTGCTGTCTCAGCTTCCTGGTGCACGCATCACGGTGTATTTATACTTCCCTTCCTTGATGGTGCATTAGCTGCGTTTTGATGTAGTCGCCCATCGAAGCACACAAAGGCAGGTAAATGTTATGACAAGGACGTTAGTCACGTAATTCTGAAGAAACTGTAATTTGAAGAGGGAAGTGTCAATCGCGGGTAAGCCGTAAGGAAGCTATTATTTCTATGGAGCCATCAGGACAAATCAGGCTGCATCACCGCTCAGTCACATCAGGTGAATGGTGCTCCGAGAATTACTCATTTTGTGCAATGTTGCTTTTCGCAGGCTGCTCTTCAGAGCAGGCTTGTGCTGGCTCAACAACGATGTGTTCAGGGACCTGCCTTTCCGAGAAAGACTTCCTCACGTTCCAAGCAATGGGGCGGTGAAATAGATTCCCCGAGGAAGTCGTGGACTCCTTCCTGGAGGCTTTCAAGGTGAGGCTAGATGAGCACTTCAAAGGGGTAGTTTAAAAATAGCATCCCTGCATTCATGCAAGGATTGGACCAGATGACCCCCAAGCCCGCGTCCACACCTATGATCCACTGCTCCTCCACGCGTCCATCTCCCATCCCAAGAGCAAAGGGGTGTTAGTCAGCCCCCTGTTTTGCTCTGCCTGCCTATCCCACCTCTCGTGGACCGTCTAGGTCTTGCCCCTCCGCTCAGGGTCAGACCAGCGCCATGTGGGGTCAGGGAGGGATTCCCCCCCTGCTCAGACTGGTATGGACTGGGGGGTTGCCTTCCTGTGTAGCCCCCCTACATCACGTATATGACAGCATCCCCTAGAAGCAGCACCTCGGCTGCCCGGTTCCCCAGCTTGACCCGCAGCACCTGCGGGGGTCACGTCTGTGCGTGACGACCCCCTTACATAGAGTTTAGCTCAACCTCTTTTTCATTTGCGGCCCCCTAAAACATGTCCAAAGGAAGCGTGGGCCCCTTTGAAGAGTACGCCCAGGCTTGCCATCTCCGGCAGGTGGGAAACCACCGGCTCACACTATGGGTTGGCCGGTCCTGCCTGGGGATGTGACCTGCCAACGCCTCTCCTTGCTCCGGCATCTTTCCCGTGGCCAGGAAGCGAGGGGCCCGCGCTTCTCGGGAAGGGTCCAGCGCCGCGGGCGCAAAGGAAGCGTGGGCCCCTTTGAAGAGTACGCCCAGGCTTGCCATCTCCGGCAGGTGGGAAACCACCGGCTCACACTATGGGTTGGCCGGTCCTGCCTGGGGATGTGACCTGCCAACGCCTCTCCTTGCTCCGGCATCTTTCCCGTGGCCAGGAAGCGAGGGGCCCGCGCTTCTCGGGAAGGGTCCAGCGCCGCGGGCGCTGCTTGCCTGGGCGGGTGCCAGCCG